ATTTTATTAGTGGCTGTGAATTCATCAACCTCTTGGAAGATGATACTTTTGATGATACTCTCATTGCAGCAAGCGACTCTGATATTCATAATGCTGTACGCAAAATTAATTTGACTCTTGAAAACTTGGCGAAGTTCTTGAACATAAACAAACTCAAAATGAATACCACTAAAACGAAAGCTATGATATTGTCATCACGATATAAATATAACTTAATCGATACCAACTCCATTAATATTGAGATCTACTGCGAAACTATAGAAAATGTGAAAGAATTCAAATACCTAGGCTTCATCGTTGATAACACTTTGAACTTGAAAAAACACTTCCAGAATATGTGTTATAAAATTTCTAAAAAATTGTTTTTCTTCACTAGAACATTCCAATCTAATTTGACTGTTTATAAAACAATATTCCTACCACACTTTGATTACTGTGCTACTTTGATATCATTACTAGACGGTAATTCTATCTCTACTCTACAAAAATGACAAAACAGAGGAATGCGCTTGTTATTAAAATGCCATAAATATACTCCTATATTATCAATGATTAATATTCTGAATTGGATGACAGTAAAATATAGATTACAATATTTTTCAATGATATTCATATTCAAAATATTCACTGGAAAAGCACCACATTACTTCAATGAGTTTATTACATATAACCATCAGATACACTAATACTATACAAGAGGAAGAGATGACTTGTGCGATGAGACTCTGGGTTCGATGAGTTTGATATAGACGTGTAACCACTATTGATTTATTTATCAATCAGAACATACATTAAAATATATACAAGTGTTAGATAGCTGCGATACAACATTAATTTCGCAATCGCTATCGTCAAATTCACATTCAATAAACACACTCCTTGTCGGCTGACCATGCCAGACTGACTGTCNAAACATTTCCCTACAGGGTTCCGAGATAATATATCCGCTGTAAGGTTATCCACTCCCTTACAATGACGAATTTCAAAGTCGAATTCCTGAATGAATAGAATCCACCTAGTTAAGCGTGCGCTACGGAATTGACTTGTTAACAAAAACTCCAATGATTTGTGATCACTTATTATTACTAGTGACCTTCCCAAAACTAATTGACGCCACTGTTTCAAACAACAAATTACCCCCCAAAGTTCTTTTTCGGTGACCGTATAGTTGATTTGGTGGGATTTCAAAGTTTTACTAAAGTAGGCGATCACACCTTTGTCACCCCCTTCGTATATCTGATAAAGACAGCCCCCTATCGCAAAGTTCGAGCTATCGCATTCGATATAAAACTTCCCTTCAGGTCTCGGGTGTACCATCATCGATACTTCTAAAAATGCTTGTTTGATATTTTCAAAAGCACCTTGTTTATCTTCTCCCCAGCTCCAATGAACCCCTTTTTTCAGTAGTGACAATAATGGCACTGTTATTTCAGAATAATTTTTACAGAAGCGGCTGTTGTAATTTACAAGCCCTAAAAACCCACGAAGACTTTTAACATTTTTAGGAACGGGAAAATCTTGAATTGCCTTAATTCTTTGCTGATCCATTCTAACCCCTTCTGAAGTAATAATATGCCCAAGGAAATTTACTTCACTATTAAAAAACAACGATTTTCGAAGTTTAACCGTCAACCCCCCAGCAGATAGCCTCTGAAAGATATTGTCTAAATGCAAAAAATGTTGCTCAATATCCTTAGAAAAAATTATTAAATCATCTACGTATATAAACGCATAATCAACTTCTCCCAGTACCATATTTACACCCCTAATTAACGAAGCCATCGACGTCGACAGTCCAAATGGTACCCTTTTAAATATATACGATGTACCCTCAAAAACAAATCCCACATATTTTTGATTTTCCTTTTTGATTGGCAATTGCCAATATGAAGCAGTTAAATCCATTACACTAAATATTTGCCCTCGTTTAAAACTGAGCAATAACTCCTGTGGATTTGGTGGTACAACGAAGTCCTTTTCTATGCGCTTATTTAAATAACGAGCATCTAAACATATGCGCACGGATTTGTCTTTTTTAAGAACTGTAACTAAAGGTGAAATAAATTCGGTTTTTCCAGCTTCAATAACCCCTAGATTGATCATTTCCTGAATTTGTTGCCGAACCTCTTCCCTATAAACAAAAGGTATGGGATATGATGGACCACAGAAAGGACTATCATCCTTCAGCTCAATTTCATGTTCATAACCCCTTATTAATCCCGGCCTTTCTGAAAAAAGATCATCATACTTCTTCAGAAGTTGGAACAATTTATTTTTGCCCTTCTCTCCCAAATTAGCATTATCTACTATTGCCTGATAATCGCTATCACTATAGTGGTGTTTTTCACTCTGGGTGGATGTTCTTTCTAACCGATTAACTTGCAGAGGTCGTTCATTATTCAACAAAAGTGAAAATATTTCATTATCTTTGCAATAAAAGTTAACCTGATATTTTTCGTTTTGGCACGAAAAATGCATTGCCCTTTTGTCAAAATGGAGCTCTACTTTGTAGTTTCTCATCCAATCTACTCCTAAAATAATATTTTTATTTAACCCTGGTACGATTAAGCATTTTGCTTCGCAACTTCGCTTTCCTACCAAGAATGTCAATAAAACCTGCTTTTTTATCTTAACTGGTTTAGCACATACAGCCATAATAATAGAAGTATTTGTTACTGGTAATATCGGAATATTTTCCAAACCTTTTTCAATATGATTGAAAAATTCCTCTGATATCGCTGATATCTCGCTGCCACTGTCTAGCAGTGCTTCGCTTTTAAAATCCCCTAGAATAACCTGAATTATAGGTGATCTAACTTCCCTAACTTCCTTTACTTCGTTTTCCCCCTCTGACTCACTTAATAAATAATCCGATGGTTCTTCATCAAAAGCTGTAATCAAACGAACATTTTCTGTNCAACTTGTTGCCATAGCACTCAAAAACAAAATTTTCTGCTTCTTCTTAACTATCAAAATATGACAGAACACAAATTAACCTAAGACAATTTTCATGTTTTAACAGATGACAGCAGGTGTATTAGATTCAACAATTATTATGATAAAACATAAGGATAGTTCAACATCTTCTTCTAATTTTCGAATCTAATACCTAACATTAAACAAATGATATTTTACACAAGTTGAACATCAAACATCTTTATACACTAGTCTGTTACTGAATTTACCAAATTTAGTCGCACATAATGGCTTGGTTAAAATATCTGCGATTTGTTCATGAGTTGAGCAGTACACAAGATTCACAGTACCTTCTCTCACCTTCTCATTGATAAATTGATATCTTACGTCAATGTGTTTTGATCTTTTATTAAACTGGTTATTTTTCACTAATGTTATGGTACTTTGATTGTCCACATGAAGAGTAACTTTGAGATCATGTCCTATTAATTCTTGTATCAGGGATTTTAGATAGATAAGTTCTTTAACACAATCGGCAGCAGCGATATACTCAGCCTCCGTTCTGGACAACGAAACAATAGGCTGCTTACGATTGCACCATATTACTGGACCACCACAATAAAATAGTATGTACCCAGTTGTGCTCTTTCGGGTTTTCACATCACCAGCAAAATCACTATCACTGTAGACTATTAATATATTCGGATTAGAGTCTCTATTATACTTTATACCAAAATTTTTGGTCCCGTTTAGGTATCTTAGAGTCTGTTTCATATTTGATACAGGTAGCAGATTACAGCCGGTTCTGGGCCTCCCCCCACCACTATGACGTATTAATTGCTTTTTTTGTTGTTGTTTAGTAACATCAAGGCGATGTGACCTTGAAGGGTCTGATGCAAGGATCGTTCAGATTTTTTTTTTCATATGAGATTTTTTGGGTGTGTGTATGTGTGACATAGTGACGTAATTACATTTGATTGGTGTGTGTGTGTGTGAGAATGCATGGTACAGGGTTTCATCATGTGCTTGTGTGTGTGTGTGTGTGCGTGTGTGTGCGCGTGTGCGTGCGTGCGGGTGTGCGGGTGACACGCAGGCGGGCGAGGACTGTGTTAACGTCTGTCCTCTCCGAGAGCGCAACGGCAACTGCTTGTTCGTATCGCTCTCGAAGCAGTGAATGATGTGACGTAACGCATCGCCCTACCCTCGCTATTGATGGTGACACGCAGGCGGGCGAGGACTGTGCTAACGTCTGCCCTCTCCGAGAGCGCAACGGCAACTGCTTGTTCGTATCGCTCTCGAAGCAGTGAATGATGTGACGTAACGCATCGCCCTACCCTCGCTATTGATGGTGACACGCAGGCGGGCGAGGACTGTGCTAACGTCTGTCCTCTCCGAGAGCGCAACGGCAACTGCTTGTTCGTATCGCTCTCGAAGCAGTGAATGATGTGACGTAACGCATCGCCCTACCCTCGCTATTGATGGTGACACGCAGGCGGGCGAGGACTGTGCAAACGTCTGCCCTCTCCGAGAGCGCAACGACCACTGCTTGCTCGTACCGGCAACTGTTATCGCATCAAGTTGGGAGATGGGCTTGGCTGTGACGTCAGGCATCTCTAGTGGATAGCAACTAGCAATGTGAACCTTTCACGGTTTCATGGTGGGGGTGACTCGCACTGTTTAATATAAAAAAATCAGTAGACGAATATATCTGCTGCAGTTAGCAATTGGTAGAGTGTTATTCAATTCGTAATAGAAGGAAGACGGTGAGTGTATTTGTCTGTTGGAAATTGTTTATATTCTCATATATATTTTCATCATGTCCGTTTCAAAAGTAGACTTGAATAAAATTAATAATTTGATTGTACAGGAGGTTGAAATACTAGAGCAAAAGGCCTTATCTTCATTGCCAATTAATGAAGTGTACATAATTAAAAATATGTCAACTTATTCTACACGATTTGGTAAATCAATTTTATTAACTTTGTATAAATCTATTTCTATAGAGATTAGGTTTTTGTGGAAAAATCGTGAAGCCTCCCATTTTTGTGGACTGTCATATCACAATCACCTGCTTTAACTTATAGGTTTGAATTTCTCGAGAGCCAGAAAAACAGCTATCTAGACAGCTCTGGTAATAGTTTCGAAAAAGCTATTTCCTTGTACGAAATGAAGGAATCCAATGAAGCCGATGAGAGATGGCTGCAGTATTACATACTCGGTAAAATCGCCGAGAAAAAACAAAAAGAACCAGCGGAATACTTACAGTTATACATGACAGTAAGTGTAGTCTTAGAAGTTCGAAGAATTTGCTTCAATAAACTATTTTCCAGGCCAGTACCCTTCTGGACGAAAACAAGGCGGAGTACCCCGACAAAATCTACTACAACAACCCCCAGCACTTGGCTGTCGAAGCATTGGAACTCCATTACCGAATCAACGCGTCGGTTCTCAAATATCTCGAACTGCATGAAGGAAAAGATATACCGAACACTCTGGGAACCTTCTTCAAGAAATGTTTGAACTCTTCGAAATTCTCCAGGAAGCCAAAACCTTCCGCCCAAAAACCAGAAACAGAATCACCTATTAAAACAGTGGAGAAAGTCACCCCGGAACCCCCCGTTAAGACTACCGAAAGTAGCGCAAGCTTGAGCTTTCAAGAACAGTTCCTCAACTCTCTCAGTAAGCTAGAAGAGAGTGATAAAGCATCTCCTGCTGATAAGAGCGAGAAAAAAGAGGATGCCGAGAAAAATAAAAACGAAGAGAAAGTTTTACCAAGTGAAACATCTGAGAAGGGGGATATTGTTCCACCCCGTGAGGTTGAGTTGGACAGTAAAGTTTCTTCTGGCAATCCAGGAAGCACTCCTTCACCGAACCTTTGCCTCAAACCTGAAGCCGAGCCAGTTTTGAAAGTAGATCCACCTTCTAACCCTTCGGAGAAGAAAGTTGAAGTAGTAGAAGAATCCAAAAAAGATGAGGACAAGACCGAAACTTTAGAGATCCCAGACGAGGATGTTATAATGATATCAGACTCTGAAGAAGAGGAGAAAAAAAATGAGGAGGAAAGTGAAAAGACTGAAGAAGAGGGTAGTGAGAAAGCAAAGGGACAGTCGAATGAAATGGCCATGGAAGTAGAAAACGAAAAGGCCGTGGAAGAAATCCTGGAAAAACCGGAAGAGATTAGAGAAAAAAACATGGGAGAGAAGAACGAGAGTGTTGCTGCTGATGTATCAGGTAATGTAATTTGAAGTTGAAATTATTTATTTAATCTAAAGCAAATGGAACTTCAAACGTTCAAGCCAGTCTCTATATACCTACACAGTAGGTTCAATGGACTGACGCCTATCAGAAAACAACTACTCCCCTGGCTAATACCACGAAGGGCGTTGGATTATATCAGACAGGCGTCAGTGCAGGAATCTTCACAGAAAATGTCCTGCATATGCAATTGGCAATACAAGAGGAAGAGGAAGAGGAATGAAATACTCTGTGATATAATCCAACGCCCTTCGTGGTATTAGCCAGGGGAGTAGTTGTTTTCTGATAGGCGTCAGTCCATTGAACCTACTGTGTAGGTATATAGAGACTGGCTTGAACGTTTGAAGTTCCATTTGCTTTAGATTTGTTTATTGCCAGTCTTCAAGCATAGCCCATTGACTAATAAGAAAATTATTTATTTATTTATTTCATACACTATTCTACAGGATGAACCCAATTACAGAATTGGGAGTAACAGTGGCATTTACAAATATGTACTTACATAATATAATTTGTGAATCTATATAAAAAAAAAAGAACTGTCAGTTAGCTAAGAACTGTTTTTTGATTTGTATAATCTGGCAGTTGAATATATCTAGGACATGACTAACAGAATCAGAATCGCACATTGTATAAATTGGAGATTTTTTCATTATATTTGTATGCGGAGTGTTGAGATAAAATCTAACACTATTCCTAGATGACCATCTTGGAACCCAAAAATTCAACATATGTAACAGTTGAGAGCAGGTGATGATATTGTTTATGACCTTGAATAAAAAAAGAAATGAATAATATTTACGCCTTACCTCGAGACTACAAAAATTGTTAGTTACAAGCAATTCATAATAGGGTATTCCTACAGTAGGATACGTGCCTTTAAGTTTAAAAGACATATATTTTAGGAAGCGCCTCTGTAGGGCTTCTAGTTGATTTATATGAACCTGATAGTAGGGACTCTACACGACAGATGCATATTCCAGCCTAGATCGAACAAAAGTGAAATAAAGTAATTTCAATGTTGAAGCTTTCTCAAAGTCTTTTGTATTTCTAACTAAGAATCCATACATGCGAGCTGCTGTTAGAGTAGTGTCAATATGTTTATCGAAAGAGGGGGATGAATCAAAAGTAACACCTAGATCAGTGAGTGTGTCAGGACGCTCCAGAACTTGATTGTTTATGACGCAGTTGTGTGAATTAAGGTTGTTTTCAGTGAGTAAGACATTACATTACATTTGGATATGTTGAGAGATAGATTATTCTTTCGAGACCAAGTAGCAACGCATTTAAATTCAGGGCGAGACGTTTGCAATCATTAGAACATGTTATATTGTAATAGAGTTTCAAGTCATCTGCGTATAAAAGGAAATTGACATCAATCTCAGCTCCGATATCATTAATGAACATATTGAATAGTAGGGGTCCTAAATTTGATCTTTGTGGTACACCAGATGTGGCTATATATTCGATAGACTTGAGGCCATTGAGTTGAACGTACTGCTTACGGTTGTAAAAATACGATTTGAAGAGGGTGATTAAGTCATTGGATAACCCAAAAGTTGAAAGCTTGTTGAGCGGGATACTATGGTCAAGTCTGTCGTACGCAAATCAGTGTAGATGACATCAGTCTGAGACTGACAATCAATACCCTCTGCAATGCATTGAGTGATTGTTACAAGATTCGTGGTGGTTGAACATCCTTTCATGAAACCATGTTGATTGGGGGCATATGAAAGAGATTGGTCTGTAATTTTGTATCTCACTTTTATCTACTTGTTTGAAAATTGGGCAGACTTTCGACATTTTCCATATCGATGGTACAGTTGATATTTTCAGGAATATATTAATTAGAGTTATTAGTGGTTCAGCCAGAGCTGAGGCACAATCTTTAATGATAAATGCTGGAATATGATCAGGTCCCACAGTAAATTCAGGCTTTAATTTTTTTTTGGTATGATAAACATCTTCAATACTAAAGTTTTTGATTGCCAAGCTGGGAATATCACTACTGTTGTTCGCATAGTCACTTAATGTTGACACTATATAAGAACCACTGAAGAAATCTGCAAAACCATCAAGAATATCTGAGGGATTATCGAGTAGCTTGCCTTCATGTATCATTTTATCTCCGATTCCATTCGTATGTTTTGACTTGCTAATGAATGACCAAAACTTATTGGGGTTGTGGATAATCTCGCTCTCAGTTTTCTGAATGAATTTTTTACAAGCTATTCTAATGGCTGCTTTGATTTCTGTCCGAAGACGTTTGAATTCGTGAAAAGCGTGAATATCGCCGTTTCTTTTGTATTTACACAAAAATTTTGTTTTAGTTCGAGTTTTCTTTAACAATGCACCATCAAAGTAGGCTGGATAATTATTTTTAGATTTTATCGAGAATTTTGGCACGCAGCGATCAAATACACTGTATAATTTTTCATAAAAGTGAAGACAGACATCATCTGTATTGCGAAACGCATTTAGAAACGTTCAATCGAGATTGAGGATCAGCTCATACATGAGCGGAAAGTTAGCTTTTTTAAAATTGTATGGTTCTTGGAAACATGATGCAAATTTATTCTTCGAGTTCGTTTTGAAGTTCAGTTCGCAATGTTATTTCCAAAGCAGGATGATGACCGTCCTCTTTCACTAATGGATCTATGATACCAATTAAAAATGCTTTGGCAATATTCTGAAATAGAAAGAACAAAAATATAGAGATGATTTTTTCTTTATCGTGTAATGAAGTATCAACGACTGTTAAAAAAATAAGGTGAATGTTCAAAATTTGAAGGCTACGTAAATTCGATTATCGATTTTCTTATTTTTTTTATGTTGGTATATTGTCATGCGTCCCAAGGTAAGAGCCCAAGAGAGCCGAGACCAAAAAAAGTGTGCGTCGTGATAACTTAAAACAGTGGTCGCCAACCTCTTCAATGTGTTGAGCTACTTTGTTAATTTTGGAATAAACACCGCAGCGAGCTATCCACACGGAAGCCACGTAACGCAACGTAAATGAAATAATCCACAATTAATTTATCAATGTGTATTTATTTTACTATTTAACTGGTAATACATAATACATAGGTACTAATAATAAACTAATAACAAAATAACTAATATTACTAGTACGTACTTGCTCATAGCTACATTCCTACCTATCAAACGAAGGTGTTTGAAAAATAAACACAAACTTTTATCCAGCCACAACGGCATGTCACGTATGATTAAAAATAGTTAATAATAACAACAAAAAAGTAACGCACTATCATGAACATAAACATTGAAAAATAAAAAAGCACGTTCAATGAGAAGGCTGACACTCAGACTCATCGATAATTTTTT